CCTTGCTCCCCCCTCTCAGTTTCCCTCACTCACCACTTTCCCCTTTCCTCAATCCCTGTCTCCTCCCTGTCTATTTCTCTCACCGTCACTGTCCTCCCGCGTGTCGTGAAGGGAGACAGGTTGGCCCGTGACCACAAAGCTCATTCCGTATGCGAGGCGCAGCTAACTGTGATGTGACGTCTCAGGCATGGCGGACTACTTGAGAGAACTTCCCCACACCCAATTAGGAGAGCATGTGCTCGCGCGCACATGCTCTCTAACACAGCACTCTACATCCCTCAGTACCTAGCACACCCTACCTCCCTCAGTACCTAGCACCCTACATCCCTCTGTGCCTAGCACCCTACCTCCCTCTGTGCCTAGCACCTTACCTCCCTCAGTGCCTAGCACCTTACCTCCCTCTGTGCCTAGCACCCTACCTCCCTCAGCACCTAGCACCCTACCTCCCTCAGCACCTAGCACCCTACCTCCCTCAGTACCTAGCACCCTACCTTCCCCTGTGCATAGCACCCTACCTTCCCCAGTAACTAGGACCCTACCTCCCCCTGTGCCTAGCACCCTATATTATTGTTTTTCATTACCCTTTGCAATAGGACGTAATTAAAAGTCTCAGTTCAGCAGGGCCGTGCGAATCCTCATTACGGCCCTTGTGGATTTGTTCACCCGTCCATACTAATTTATACCTCCGACTCTCACACCTGTAACCCCCCCCCCCCACCCTCACCCTCACTCTCACCCCACCCTCACCCCACTCACACCCCACCTACGTCTCCCCCATCAGGTAACACCCAGACAGGGATTAATCATTTAAACCTTCAAAATACATGACTTTAAAGGGTTGAGCTTCAGAGACAAGGGATCACACTCACCCTGACCGGCTCCCACCTTCCTCAAAACTCACACGGACGAAGGGCCGTCCTCTTTACTATTCACATTAATCCTTTTACCATTGTAAATATTACAACAATGCATTGCAAAGGCTAAAATTAAGGCCTCAACTCCCCCCTTTCGTCCTCATCAACGCAGCCTAATAAAGCCATAGAATGAGGCCTGTAGCGCAGTGGTCTACGTTCACGATTCAGACTTGGATCTGGGTTATAGGTTAAGTAATAATTGTAAATAAGAAGCAATAAGATGCTTATCTTAACATACTAAGAAGGTTAGGTGAGGTCGGTGTTTTCTATGAAGCTTTTCAAGGTAAACTAAAATATTCACAATCAATTAGTATGTCACATATGCACTTATTAAATAAGCCAATATTGACTATAAGCAAGTGCGAGAACGGGTTACTGGGTTCCACCTCCCCGAGAAGAGGAACAGAACTGATTGGGCACGGTGTGTACCTTATGCCGCTGTTCACCAACAGTAAGTAGGTACCTGGGAGTTAGGCAACTGTCTTGGAAGGCATCCCAGGAAAGGTCGGTAGTTTGCTATAAGAGAATCCTCGCTTGAAGGTACAGGCTTCCTGTCCCGACACCTAGGGTTGTTCCCAGACGTAGAGAGACCGAAGGGGCCAAAGAGACCCTATTGGTTTCCTCCCTCCAAATAGGTCACTAATGGGAGTGCCAGACAAGGGCTTATAGTACAACATTGTTAATGGGACCATAATACCGCAACTAATGGGCCCACCACATCCTGGTTACTGTATCATATCATAGCAAATGAGTGGCACATCACTGCACATGTGGGTGCCACGTCAAGGGACCCACAACATCAGAGTTAATGGGACCACGACATCACGGCTATTGAAATACCACATCACTGATCAAGAGGAGCACTTAATCTTAGCAAATGGGTTTACCTCATCCGGGTATCGGAGGTACCTCACCTGGGTATAGGGAGGTACCTCACCTGGGTATATGGCGGTACCTCACCCGGGTATATGGAGGTACCTCACCCGGGTATATGGCGGTACCTCACCCGGGTATATGGCGGTACCTCACCCGGGTATATGGCGGTACCTCACCTGGGTATATGGAGGTACCTCACCCGGGTATAGGGAGGTACCTCACTTGGGTATAGGGAGGTACCTCACCCGGGTATATGGCGGTACCTCACCCGGGTATATGGCGGTACCTCACCTGGGTATATGGAGGTACCTCACCCGGGTATATGGAGGTACCTCACCCGGGTATATGGAGGTACCTCACCCGGGTATAGGGAGGTACCTCACCCGGGTATAGGGAGGTACCTCACCCGGGTATCTGGAGGTACCTCACCCGGGTATATGGAGGTACCTCACCCGGGTATCTGGAGGTACCTCACCCGGGTATCTGGAGGTACCTCACCTGGGTATATGGCGGTACCTCACCCGGGTATCTGGAGGTACCTCACCCGGGTATAGGGAGGTACCTCACCCGGGTATATGGAGGTACCTCACCCGGGTATATGGAGGTACCTCACCCGGGTATATGGAGGTACCTCACCCGGGTATCTGGAGGTACCTCACCCGGGTATCTGGAGGTACCTCACCCGGGTATATGGCGGTACCTCACCCGGGTATATGGAGGTACCTCACCCGGGTATATGGCGGTACCTCACCCGGGTATATGGCGGTACCTCACCCGGGTATCTGGAGGTACCTCACCCGGGTATATGGAGGTACCTCACCCGGGTATAGGGAGGTACCTCACCCGGGTATATGGCGGTACCTCACCCGGGTATATGGCGGTACCTCACCCGGGTATCTGGAGGTACCTCACCCGGGTATATGGAGGTACCTCACCCGGGTATATGGCGGTACCTCACCCGGGTATCTGGAGGTACCTCACCCGGGTATAGGGAGGTACCTCACCCGGGTATAGGGAGGTACCTCACCTGGGTATCTGGAGGTACCACACCCGGGTATCTGGAGGTACCTCACCCGGGTATCTGGAGGTACCTCACCCGGGTATATGGAGGTACCTCACCCGGGTATAGGGAGGTACCTCACCCGGGTATATGGCGGTACCTCACCCGGGTATAGGGAGGTACCTCACCCGGGTATAGGGAGGTACCTCACCTGGGTATATGGAGGTACCTCACCCGGGTATCTGGAGGTACCTCACCCGGGTATATGGCGGTACCTCACCCGGGTATATGGCGGAACCTCACCCGGGTATATGGCGGTACCTCACCCGGGTATAGGGAGGTACCTCACCCGGGTATATGGCGGTACCTCACCTGGGTATCTGGAGGTACCTCACCCGGGTATATGGCGGTACCTCACCTGGGTATCTGGAGGTACCTCACCTGGGTATCTGGAGGTACCACACCTCTGCCATCTGGAGGTACCTCACCCGGGTATCTGGAGGTACCTCACCTGGGTATCAATGGAAACAAAGCAACCAATTATCAAGACGCGGTAAAAACCTTAATTGAAATAGATGCATTTTCCAACCATTTTGTTGTATATTTTACGCTGGTTTACACCGGCAGGTATACCCGAGCCCCTTCACCTTACCATTGCTAGCGGGAGTACCACGTAGCTAATAGAAGTACCTCTGTAATAGAAGTACCACACAGCTAATAGAAGTACCACGCAGCTAATACAAGTACCAAAGCTAATAGAAGTACAACGCAGCTAATAGAATTATCAAGACGCAGGTAATAAAACCACGCAGCTAATAGAAATAGATGCAGCTTTTAGAAGTACCATTTTGCTTGTATATTTTACGCAGCTAATACACACGGCACACAGCTAATAGAAGTTTACGCAGCTAATAGAAGTACCACGCAGCTAATAGAAGTACCTCCAGCTAATTCCTTACCATTGCTAGCGGGAGTACCACGTAGCTAATAGAAGTACCACGCAGCTAATAGAAGTACCACACAGCTAATAGAAGTACCACGCAGCTAATAGAAGTACCACGCAGCTAATAGAAGTACCACACAGCTAATAGAAGTACCACGCAGCTAATAGAAGTACCACACAGCTAATAGAAGTATCACACAGCTAATAGAAGTACCACACAGCTAATAGAAGTACCACGCAGCTAACAGAAGTACCACACAGCTAATAGAAGTATCACACAGCTAATAGAAGTACCACACAGCTAATAGAAGTACCACGCAGCTAATAGAAGTACCACACAGCTAATAGAAGTATCACACAGCTAATAGAAGTACCACACAGCTAATAGAAGTACCACACAGCTAATAGAAGTACTACACAGCTAATAGAAGTACTACACAGCTAATAGGAGCACCTCACACAGCTAACGGAACAATTCATGTCAGAATGCTACTAAAGGCTTGTCAACCTGGAACTCATTTCTGAGCATTTCCAACTCTCTATATTTTTGTCGGAGTTGGCGTTGCGATGCTGGACAAGGGCGCAGCGTTTGTTTTGTTTGAGTTTAATTAATGCTGGACGTTTGGAAATATATTCTTTCCTCTCTCTTATTGTCTGTTTGCGTGTCTGTTTGCGTGTCTGTTTGCGTGTCTGTTTGCGTGTCTGTTTGTTTGATACGCTTCCCTCGCCTAGTCGTTCTTGCAGGGGATGAAATTCCGTGGTTGGGGTCTTACTTGAGCCTGCCTTGATGACCAGACCACACACTAGAAGGTGAAGGGACGACGACAGTCGACTTGAGAATGGTCCAGGACGGACCGAAACGTCGTCGTCCCTTCACCTTCTAGTGTGTGGTCTGGTCAACATACTTTAGCCACGTTATTGTGACTCATCGCCTGCAAATTGAGCCTGCCTTTCACTTCTCTATCTCGCTTATCTTAGAGGCTATCTCACTTACTTTAGAGGCTATCTTACTTACCTTAGAGGCTATCTCACTAACCTTAGAAGCTATCTTACTTACCTTAGAGGCTATCTCACTTACCTTAGAGGCTATCTCACTTACCTTAGAGGCTATCTCACTTACCTTAGAGGCTATCTCACTTACCTTAGAGGCTATCTCACTTACCTTAGAGGCTATTTCACTTACCTTAGAGGCTATCTCACTTACCTTAGAGGCTATCTCACTTACCTTAGAAGCTATCTTACTTACCTTAGAGGCTATCTCACTTACCTTAGAGGCTACCTCACTGCTACGCAGGTCACCGACTGCATATATTTTCGTATGAACGAAATAAAGTTGTATTCGTTCACGCTCTACAGTCATAATCACTATTATAAGGAACATATATGTAATATTTCTGCTTTATATACATGGTTTTAGTAACTCTTGGGTACCTATAAGACAGGTCAGAAACTGTCGAAGTTTGCATTTCATTAATAAGTTTAGTAGTTGTGCAGCAACGTTCAAGGTATGGAGACTGGCTGCCTCGGGTAGACTGACTCCACTTCCATCACAGTGGTCCCAGGTCGGCTCTGTAAGCAGACACGTCATCAATAACCGGGACACTAAAACACCTCACTTACGGGCTCGGGCGCAAACACCTGACGTATCTAGTCCATAGATGGCGCTGTCGTCGGAGCACCACCTCACCAGAGGTTAGGAGCGGCGGTGTTGAGCGCTGAACTAGACTGGAAACTGGTCCTCGAGGCCAGTACACGCTGTCCTCACCAGGTGTCGTCGTCCGTTTGGCGGGGGTTTCGGGAGCTGACCCACAGATGGCGTGGTTGTCACTGCTCCAGGCTCGGACGCTGGATCCGGATTCGTAACACTATCTCACTTACTTTAGAGGCTATCTCACTTACCTTAGAGGCTATCTCACTTACCTTAGAGGCTATCTCACTTACCTTAGAGGCTACCTCACTTACCTTAGAGGCTATCTTACTTACCTTAGAGGCTATCTCACTTACCTTAGAAGCTATCTTACTTACCTTAGAGGCTACCTCACTTACCTTAGAGGCTATCTCACTTACCTTAGAGGCTACCTCACTTACCTTAGAGGCTACCTCACTGCTACGCAGGTCACCGACTGCATATATTTTCGTAATAAACGAAATAAAGTTGTATTCGTTCACGCTCTACAGTCATAATCACTATTATAAGGAACATATATGTAATTTTTCTGCTTTATATACATGGTTTTAGTAAGTCTTGGGTAGTTATAAGGACAGGTCAGAAACTGTCGAAGTTTGCATTTCATTAATAAGTTTAGTAGTTCATTAAGTTTAGTAGTTGACCAAGGTTTTGTAGTTGGGGATGGTTTGGTAGTTGGGGATGGTTTGGTAGTTGGGGATGGTTTGGTAGTTGGGGATGGTTTGGTAGTTGGGGATGGTTTGGTAGTTGAGGATGGTTTGGTAGTTGGGGATGGTTTGGTAGTTGGGCAAGGTTTGGTAGTTGGGGATGGTTTGGTTTGGTTGTTGGGATGGTTTGGTAGTTGGGGATGGTTTGGTAGTTGGGCAAGGTTGTAGTTGGGGATGGTTTGGTAGTTGGGGATGGTTTGGTAGTTGGGGATGGATGGTTTGGTAGTTGGGGATGGTTTGGTAGTTGGGGATGGTTTGGTAGTTGGGGATGGTTTGGTAGTTGGGGATGGTTTGGTAGTTGGGGATGGTTTGGTAGTTGGGGATGGGTTTGGTAGTTGAGGATGGTTTGGTAGTTGGGGATGGTTTGGTAGTTGGGGATGGTTTGGTAGTTGACCAAGGTTTGGTAGTTGAGGATTTTTGGTAGTTGGGGATGGTTTGGTAGTTGGGGATGGTTTGGTAGTTTGGGGATGGTTTGGTAGTTGGGGATGGTTTGGTAGTTGGGGATGGTTTGGTAGTTGGGCAAGGTTTGGTAGTGGGGAAGTTTAGTAGTTCATTAAGTTTAGTAGTTGACCAAGGTTTTGTAGTTGGGGATGGTTTGGTAGTTGGGGATGGTTTGGTAGTTGAGGATGGTTTGGTAGTTGGGGATGGTTTGGTAGTTGGGGATGGTTTGGTAGTTGGGGATGGTTTGGTAGTTGAGGATGGTTCGGTAGTTGGGTTATTGTTGGTGAAGGGGCAAGAAGAATCTTTCCACGCCCTGGTGGAGTCAGGAAATATTAGGCAATAAACCAGTTTAAATGGCGCGGGATCCCGCCCAACTGACCTGCTTTAAATCACCCGCGCTATGCTGCTGCTGCCACCACCAGTTGGCGCGCCAAAACTTTTGGCGCCTCAGACCAGCGCGATATTTATCTCAAGAATGTTTCCGTTGTGTCTGTGCGGTTGAGGTATTGTCTTGGTTATCTCTGGTTTAAACTGGCATTGGTTTGGTTATCTGTGGTTTAAACTATATTGTATTCGTTATCTCTGGTTTAAACTGGCATTGGTTTGGTTATCTGTGGTTTAAAATATATTGTATTCGTTATCTCTGGTTTAAACTGGCATTGTTTTGGTTATCTGTGGTTTAAACTATATTGTATTCGTTATCTCTGGTTTAAACTGGTATTATTTTGGGTATCTGTGGTTTAAACTATATTGTATTCGTTATCTCTGGTTTAAACTGGCATTGTTTTGGTTATCTGTGGTTTAAACTATATTGTATTCGTTATCTCTGGTTTAAACTGGTATTATTTTGGGTATCTGTGGTTTAAACTATATTGTATTCGTTATCTCTGGTTTAAACTGGTATTATTTTGGGTATCTGTGGTTTAAACTATATTGTATTCGTTATCTCTGGTTTAAACTGGCACTGTTTTGGTTATCTGAGGTTTAAACTATATTGTATTCGTTATCTCTGGTTTAAACTGGTATTATTTTGGGTATCTGTGGTTTAAACTATATTGTATTCGTTATCCCTGGTTTAAACTGGTATTATTTTGGGTATCTCTGTTTTTTGGGGTATTTGGACGTTGGGGACAATAATGGACAACATGCAACGTAATAGTTGGGAGGACGAAGGACATTGACCCAGACAACTTCTTCAGAAGGTCAGATGTAACACAAACAAGGAGCAACGGGTTCAAGCTCAACAGACAACAATGTTGGACTGAATACAAGGGGAGGATTTTTCACCCCACAGGTTTATAAACCCTTGGAACCGCCTACCCGCCGAAGCCGTAAATGCCAAATCGCTCTTAAATTTAATAATCCAGCTTGAAAAAATCATCAGTACAAATGGAGGACCTATCAAAGCCACGCTGCCCTCCACCACCCACCAAAGCCACGCTGCCCTCCACCACCCACTAAAGCCACGCCGCCCTCCACCACCACCCACCAAAGCCACGCTGCCCACCACCACCCACCAAAGCCACGCTGCCCTCCACCACCACCCACCAAAGCCACGCTGCCCTCCACCACCACCCACCAAAGCCACGCTGCCCTCCACCACCACCCACCAAAGCCACGCTGCCCACACCACCCACCAAAGCCACGCTGCCCTCCACCACCACCCACCAAAGCCACGCTGCCCTCCACCACCACCCACCAAAGCCACGCTGCCCTCCACCACCACCCACCAAAGCCACGCTGCCCACCACCACCCACCAAACCCACCCGCGCCCCCACCACCCACCCAAGCCACGCTGCCCACCACCACCCACCAAAGCCACGCTGCCCTCCACCACCACCCACCAAAGCCACGCCGCCCTCCACCACCACCCACCAAAGCCACGCCGCCCTCCACCACCACCCACCAAAGCCACGCTGCCCTCCACCACAACCCACCAAAGCCACGCTGCCCTCCACCACCACCCACCAAAGCCACGCTGCCCTACACCACCCACCAAAGCCACGCTGCCCACCACCACCACCCACCAAAGCCACGCTGCCCTCCACCACCACCCACCAACGCCACGCTGCCCTCCACCACCACCCACCAAAGCCACGCTGCCCTCCACCACCACCCACCAAAGCCACGCTGCCCTCCACCACCCACCAAAGCCACGCTGCCCTCCACCACCACCCACCAAAGCCACGCTGCCCACCACCACCCACCAAAGCCACGCCGCCCTCCTCCACCCACCAAAGCCACGCTGCCCTCCACCACCACCCCCCAAAGCCACGCTGCCCCCCACCACCACCCACCAAAGCCACGCCGCCCTCCACCACCACCCACCAAAGCCACGCTGCCCCCCACCACCACCCACCAAAGCCACGCTGCCCACCACCACCCACCAAAGCCACGCTGCCCTCCACCACCACCCACCAAAGCCACGCTGCCCTCCACCACCACCCACCAAAGCCACGCTGCCCTCCACCACCACCCACCAAAGCCACGCCGCCCTCCACCACCCACCAAAGCCGCGCGGCCCTCCACCACCACCCACCAAAGCCACGCTGCCCTCCACCACCACCCACCAAAGCCACGCTGCCCTCCACCACCACCCACCAAAGCCACGCTGCCCTCCACCACCACCCACCAAAGCCACGCTGCCCTCCACCACCACCAACCAAAGCCACGCTGCCCTCCACCACCACCCACCAAAGCCACGCCGCCCTCCACCACCCACCAAAGCCACGCTGCCCTCCACCACCACCCACCAAAGCCACGCTGCCCTCCACCACCACCCACCAAAGCCACGCTGCCCTCCACGCTGGAGCGCTAACAATGCCCCCTAGACAAATAAAAGGTAAAGGACTCTGCTCGTGTGAACCAACACGATCATTAAACAAAAATATTCCGGCTCAAATTGCCACACAGACAAAAGAATTTTCTCTAGCTTCGGAGAGAGTTAAAATTTCTGAGTTTTGGAGATGAACGTAATATGAGCAGAGTTGGGGGGGGGGGGGGGGAGTTAAAGTGAGGGGGAGATGGGGAATGGGAGGGATATATATATATATATATATATATATATATATATATATATATATATATATATATATATATATATATATATATATATATATATTGGTATGGGACTACACGTGCGTATCAACCCTGGCTAACACCTACATTGACTTCAGTATTGCACAACCAGGTGGCGCTGCCACCCACAGGGAATCAGCCAAATCCCGTAAGTACAGAGAACTGGATCACCACTACAATTTTGTCCCCATTGCTTCTGAGACACTCGGCGCCTGGGGAAAGAGTGTCACCAGCTTTTGAAGGCACTGGGTTCTAGACTAATTGAAACAACAAGGGACCCTAGAGCTGCCAGCTTCCTTTTCCAGCGCCTCAGCGTGGCGATACAGAGAGGAAATGCACACTGCATTCAGGGTTGCTGCCCGCCATCTGAGGAGCTGGAGGAACTCGACAACGTATGATAATTATTTTTGTACCCTATATGTAACTCCTTTTTTGTAACAAAGTTAAAATAAAACAAATTTATATGTGAACATACAAAAGAATAGGGGTGGTAGGAGAAGAAAATATTAGTGCTCAGTGAGAATCCACAAGGTCTTCCCCGATTACTACATATTTTCTTCTCCGAGGCTATGGGTCCCCCACATTTGCACTAGAGGTGGTACCCCTCACAATTTTTTTAATATACTTCTTTTGTATATATATATATATATATATATATATATATATATATATATATATATATATATATATATATATATATATATATATATATATATATCACCCCACAAAATGAGGTGATTCGATGAAATATCTAGGCCCAAGCTTACCACCAAGTGCTGTCGGGACGGTGGGGATATAGCCTCGGCTACCAATGACGTTTGTACTATTACGCTGGTCGAGTGGTTAAAGTACCAGGTACGTCAAGTTGCATGATGCTTCTGGGTTCGAATCCTTCTAGGGTGTGGAGTTTTCAGTTATTATATATATATATATATATATATATATATATATATATATATATATATATATATATATATATATATATATATATATACATACATACATATAGATATATAAATCAAAGCCACACCAGAGGTGGTACCCCTTTCTATATAAAATTATATATATATTTTTTTCATCACGTGTTAATTTTCGTGATTTACACACACATAAATAATATACAATCGTTGAATAGTTGTTACATAAAATGCATATTTGATATATACTTATTTACTGAGGTTCCTCGCTCCCACAGGCGCCCCAAACTATGACAACATCACGAGGAAAATACTTGACAAAGTAATGAACGATCCTGCCACCACCACACGTGGTGTCCTTGTTGTCCTCACACACTCCGGGACTGCTGCACCAGTCCTCCTCAGCGTTTAATGATCTTATAAAACAAATCCGATCAGAACACCTCTGTGACTGCGGGGGACTTCGACCCACTTTTATAGCAAGCCTCAATCAATGGGATGCTCTTACAGCCCCCATCATCCAGATCACACGAGACAAACAATCGAGCTAGAACAGTCCAGTGGTGAAGACAATTGTTGAGACTTGCTCAGTGCAACAGCGTCGTAACAGGAGATGGCCCGCCTAACAACCATGTGAGTTCTTCTTACAAGGAACTTACTTTCAGCAGTATCTACGTATTGGTGCCACAATTCATCTTTAGTACACTAGTACTTGCAACAAGATGGCAAGCCAGTCAACGTGGCTTGCACAGTGTGACGCAGCAGAAACATCAAGGGTTGGCATGCAAGACACAATTAAGTTAATGACATCCTCAAAAGGAGCTTTGCCACTACCCAGCAGAGAGAGAATCTCGATTTTCCTCAAATCCAAAATTCTGAGTGTCCTGGCATCATCAAGATGAGATCACAGTATATCTCTGGAAAATGGTAAAGAGATGACTTGGGAGAACAAATGTCAACCCACCAAGGCTACCACCACGTATCTCCTTCATTGCTGGCCAGGACGGTGGAGCATCCAACCGCAGGGAAGCGGCCAAACTGAACATGAACACGGAAAGGAGCGATTGGTTCACATTTGTTTCAATAGCATCTGAGGCCCTTGACTCCTGGGGGCAAGTGTCTCATAAGCTGTTTCATAGAATTGGGTTCTAGGCTTACTGACACTAAAAGAGACCCAAGGGCTGCCACTTTTCTGTTTCAGCATCTTAGTGTGGCGGTCCAGAGAATAAATACAGGCCAGGATCTGAGGATTTCTAAGATATTCACTACCTTAGACAATTAATTTAATTATAATCTTTTCATTCCGACCGCTAGTTT